CAGAGAAGAGCCATATCCTCATGGGACCTCCAACCAGAAAGGTCTTTTACTGGAGAAAGTGCAATGGGTAACTGTAAAACCCCATTTTTAAAAGCAGACTGTACCAATAAATGAACCATAGTTTGGTTATTCAGAACAATAACAAGTATCATACAAAGGCTATCACTTTATTCAGGCAATTCATTCCAAGTTTTTCACTGTTAAAATCATAAAAGTAATTACACAATAACTAATATAAAAGACAATTTTTGATCTTGATATAAATAGAAAAAAAAAAAAATTAAAAACTTATGACCTTTTAGAAGATCAAAGACAATCCAAAAAAAAAAAGACAAGGTCTATAAAAGTGTAGTTAAGAAACCACATCAGATGGATATTTCCACACCCAATCATAATAGGCTTCAGAAAGAGTCCCTTATCATATCTTTGACCAGAACTGTTACCACTGGCCCAACACAAGAAAACAACCCACAAAAAACGGTCAAGACATCACAGAAATATACAGAACTATACTAAGAGGCATGTATATGGAAACTCAACTAGCATCAGAAAATGAGAACAGGCAGGACACAGTTGAAAAACTGAGTTGAGACTTGAATCCTTATGAAGAGACTCAACCAAAGACCCAAAAAAAGATATTATTGAAAAATATTTAAAGCCAGAAAGTGTGTGAATGACTGTTTATAAGCAGAAATAATAAAAGTGATGCCAAAATTTGCTTCACAACTGTAAATGTAAAGTAAATTTTAATCTTCAAAAATTTCAAAAACAGGGGTCTATTAGGTATCAAAAAAAGGTATCTGTTACATATCAGAAAGTATACATTACAAAAACAAATAGAAAAGCTTAGGACCAAAGTTTACCAGAATAAAATACAGTAGCAAAGAAGTATTAAAATAGTTCAAGCAACAAGATTTTCATTCCTTTGTGCTATTTAATCTGTTAAGTCACACATGCAAAAAGCTGACATGTTCATAATGATATCAAATACAATATTTAAGTACAGTCACAAATGTTAAGAGAAGTAAAATTCAACTTACCATATTTAAAGTTGATAGATCTGGAATTCCTGTCAGGGTTTCATTGAACTTGACAGTTGAAAACATTAACTAGCAAAATCAATACAATACAAAAAGTAGGTGAACACAATCTGAATCTGGAGACTGAAACTGTTATTATGATCTTGATACCAAGTTATATAATTTGACATTTTAAATAAAAAGTACTATGTCAGGTAAACATCAATCAATACTTTAAAATTCCATTGTTTTTTCCCTTCAGAAATTAGCATAGCTATCAATGATGTATTAATGACTACTTACACTGTAAACCTATATATAAATAAATTTAGAGAGAGTGAAAGAACTATCTATAACAAAAATAATGTTGTACCAACATATATAATTCAAATAGGAGCCAAAGTATATAAATACGAATGACTCTAAATGTGAAATACACATACTAAAAGGGGAAGCTTTCTTGGAATACACTAACCATGATTAAACAATAAAATGCAAAAACTGGCAGAGATTGCAGTACATAACCTAGGATGTATCCCTCACATTCCATGTATGACATAAATAAAATATTCCATGTGATAAAACAGTAGCAAGGTTTACTACAAAAACAGTTTATATGAGTTGTAACGCTACTTATATTCACAAACATAAACCATGATATTAAATGGTTTAATTATTTACACAGAAAGTTGAATTGTACATCACTCATATTCAAATATTTTTAAGTCAAGATCAACACTTTATTTCCATACTGAGCTACATCTTATATCAGAAGATGAGTTTCAAAGTTCTCAATATAATTACAGGTACTTTGAATTTTGAACACTCAAAAAAGGAAATATCTAACATGAAACTGAAAAACATTAAGTTCTAAGAAAGTTGTTAGATATACACTATTTATCTACAAAGAAATCATAGTTTTTAAGGTACAGTACAGAACAATCATTTTGTGCAACAATGAAACAAATCATTTTGGTAGAAACTATATTTTCATAAAAATATTGTTATCTAAACAGATTGATACAAATTTAGAGAACTGAGAAACAAAAAGAAACAACTGATAAACATACCCAAAGCATCAGACAACCAAAACTATACATATCACTTTGTTCAGTCAGCACACCTTTATGTACAGCTTCAGGACACTGGAAACAGATTCCATTCACTGGGAACTTTCCATTTGCTAATTTTTGAGCCTTATAAAAAAAAAAAAATATCAATCAGTAAACAACATGGCACTCATTAAGATATACATGTGAGTATATAGTGAAAATAAAAGTTAATGAACACTTTTTTGCTATTTGTAGCCATACTTAGTAAAAGCTGCTTATTCCCCAAATAAGTTCTTACGAAGAAAAGCACCTTCTCTCAGAAAAAATATATTTCTCTGCAAGATTTCTTAAGACATGACATGTGCAAATTGTTTTAATTTGTTTTAACACTTACAGACTACTTATAATATCAAGAATATTTCTTGGTGACTTGAAGTCTCATGTACAAGACTATATAAAATCATTTTTTATTACATTTTTTAAAATTTATGACTCTTAACTATTATAAAAAAACTATGGATTTTTTAATTATTCATAAAATATTTTACTTTTAAAATATAGCAACTTGTCAAATTATACATTCAAGTCAACCATATTCAACCTACATGACTGACATTTATTATCAGTGCAAAATTGTTGCACTTGTAGCTAACAAGAGTAACAGATGTAAAACCTCACTTACTTATGAACTATAAAGCGTGTCTTGAACTGTCAGTACAAAACTAGCTAAGCTGTACAAGAGTAACATTAAAAATAAATGTTAAAGTAGCTCTTTCACAAAACAAACTAGGCTATATGGGAGGCTTGGAAAGAAATATAAGATCTTAGGTTTAGGTCATGTAAAATAAATGCCCAGCACTGTACATTACACAGCAAAAATGTACTAGGTAAATATGATGTATGCTACTTTAAAATTTTCAACACCACTTGAAAATAATAACAACTTAACTGAACTAGAGGTAGAATTTTATCCCTTAATTGTCCAGTCTCTTTAGCTGGTAACAATTCAAAATAATTCATTCAAACATATTTTTGTTTTGTGCAATAATAATTCAAAAATTACAAATAAGACAGTCTCATACATTACACGTTTCAACATCTTACTGCGTCATCCTTACGAGTATCACATTAAAACATAGTGTATGAGACTGTTTCCAGTCTGAAAGTATCTTATTCTATCTTTATACAGTAAAATTGTTAAGTAAAACAATGTTTTATTGTATTTTGAGACATATTACATATTGGCTTCAATTCTTGAATACATCTGTGTAAAAATGTACACAAGCATTATCCTAATCTTAATAATTGTTCTTTTTAGTACAAACTTTGAGACAATTTTTGATACCTGCTATATAATATTTTCAATTAGTTTGTTCTTTTTATTACAAACTTAGAGACAGTTTTTGATATCTACTATACTTTTGAAATTCTTAATACTTACAACAACTAGAATATAAGTCACATCTCAGGAAAACTAAATTTCTTTAGTTTCAGCTATACATTTTTAGAACAATGAGCACTTTCAGAACTAAAAGAAATATTTTAGAGTAATGTACATAGTGGTTAGGCTTTAAATTGTTTGCTGAATACCATGCACAGCTACTTGAGGGCTGTCTCCACCAGGAAGGCAGCTTGTCAACATATGGTCTACTACAATTGAATAATAAAATCTGACAATCACTTTTATAATGTACACACACTGTGTCCTAGATTGGGCAGTTTTTTTTTTTACTGGTAATGGAGTGTGAACCACAGAATTTTAGATTAAGTTTGGCATGCTAACAACTGGGCCAAACTCAGCCCATCAAGCTTTAATAAAGACAGATCAGAAAAACTGATGTCACTGTGGTTAATTCTAATACAGCATTAAAAGTCCATGTAATTAAGAAAGGATAGGATTATGATAGAAGAAGTATTCAATAAATGGTATTTGGTTAAGCATTATTTCATAGAACATAATTTGGGGCTTTTAAGCTTCCACCAAAACACAAACTGACCTCATTTCTGGACAAATCTGGAAGATCAATAATACCAGATCCATCTAATTTGTAGAAGATATCAAATGGGTGTAAAGCACCATGAACTATGTCATGACTATGGAGAGCTTCCAGTCCTTTAAGAACTCCTAGGAGTAATATCTTCCTGTCTTTCAGCAATAAAGGGCAGTTCTTCACTTTGTAAAACAATGTGTTGGAAGGACAAGGAGATACTGTATAGCCTTGTCTTTCATTCTAAGAGGGGGAAAAATTAATATGCAATTATCCATTTACTATCAGAATTTATATTCCTTCTAGCTATTCCATTTGATATAACAGTTCTTTTCACAACTTACTAGCATCTGAAGTTTTAAACCTCATAGTATTCAATAAATGATCTAATTTAATCACTCCAAAATTGTTCTTATAAATTATATTTTTTAATAATAATAACTTGGATAATCCTCACTAGGAATGCTGTATCTACATATAAAACCTTACCAACACATCTTATTTGAGAAAAACAAAAAAAAAATTCTTGTAAAATCAGTATTTCTTTTCAGAATCAATAAACAAGTATACTTCATATTTAAATCATCCTTTCAAAAGTAGCAAAAGTTGAAAAATATGAAATAACATTACAAATACTTTTTTCTAAAATGACTGCAGCTTAAATTATTCTGTGGTTTTTAAGTTCATAATCAGTCTCAATTTCCCATAGCAAATATTAAAAGATTACCTAATTGAGTGCTAATGAGTTTAATGGATTTATGCAATATGATAAAGCTGAAGAAAAGAAAAAATCCTTCAGAACAACTATTTTCCAAATGTATACATAACTCAAATAATTTTAATTAACAAAATCCATGTTGTTTGAGGGTTTATTTGTACAAGATTTCAACTACATGCAGGAGTCTTAATCAGGTACTATTTAGTTTAAAAAGTTACATGGTTCATTCCTTAATTCTCATTCATGTAATGAATATTCTATCAGTATTAAAGATATCTTGTACTAATTAAAACAAAATTCTGCAAATATTCTACAAATACTTATTAATGTTTTGAGTTTAGTGAGTATAAATTAATTTGAATTTGAGCTGAAAACAAGCAGTTCTATCTTGAATTTTAAGACCACAATTCTCATGTTTCTTCAAGACACACACAAGACTGTGGAATCAAGGAAGACAACCGAAACAAAAGTATCTATTATTCTCTATTTATTGCACAATTTTCATCAACTTTGATAAAACACAACATCTGTTTCTGTAAATATATCAGTAGATACATGCATATACAGTATACTTGGATCATCATAACTGTAAAATGAAATAACTGAAATTGACTTACCTTTGAAAAGAAAACAGCATGTAAAGGAACTAAATTATCACAGGCAGACTTTCGATACTCAACTGCCTTCTGTAGAAATTCAGTTTTTTGTTGGACATTATCCATGAAGTACTCCTGAAACATAAATTTTAAAAAAATGCATGTTTTAACAGATAATCAATACTTAAACAGTAAAAACAAACACTTTCTTCTTTAATATTTGAAATAAGAATAATTATTTGAAGAATCTATATGATATTTAAACTAAGAAAAATATTATGATAAGAATAATGCTGACCACATGACTACCTAAAAGCTATACTATACAAAATAATTTTTTATCACAACTGTTAACATTCCAGTAAATATTTTTTTTTCTTAAAATAGACTGACTTGCACTAAATTAATATTTAAACATTATTCAAAAACAGTGATTAGAATTTTACAAAAAAAATTCATTTGAGTTTGAAAAAAATTGAAGAAACCAGCAAATAATTTATATATGATTTATGGCACAATAAACAATTACAAAAAAGACCAAAAGGAAGGAAGACTCATAAATGTCAACTTGTCCAAAAGCTACATGACTTTTTTTTAAAATTACTGTGCATCTATCCCATCAGAAAAATGACTTGAACAATTCTAAAGATCAATTATGGATCTTATACTCAAAGTTATCTAATCAGCATTTTAATACTGTAGCTACATTTATGTTGCATAAAAAAATAAGTATATACCTCAAAATTAAAAACTGTTTTTTGATTTTAGTACCTTTAAATATGAGGCATGTTCAGTGTTACTAGCTTTCAATAAAAAAGGTATTAATTATAACTAACACATTCCAAATAGCAATAAAAAGTTTTAAAGAATCCATTTCATTATAAAATTATCTAAGCACAGCTTTAAAGTATATTTATACCAGCTGAAGTTATTGGCTGTTTTATATCCTCACTGCTAGTAAACTGAGCATCACTGATAAAAAAAACATTAGCATTACATAATACAACCAAATCACAAGTTAAACTAATAATTTGTCTGAACCATAAAGTTAGATTCAAACAGTACTGTTAGACAACTGAGATAATGAGCTATGGCCAAAGTGATACGTTACCTCAAATATTGTTGGAACAGCTCCTCCTCATTCCTTATCAGTTAGAAATAGTTAATGATAAATTTGTTTGTTTTCAGGTATTTGCACAAACCTACGCAAGGGTTGCCGTGCAAGAAATCCTTAATTTTGAGCTGATAGGCTAAAGGGAAAAGAGCCACCTCCAAATCCTGGGCTACTCTAATTGAATACTGGGATATGACCATCATTCATATAATATTAGGTCATCAAGAAATTAATGTCGAATTTTGAACACTTTCATTAACCACCCCCCAAAAAAATGTACATCACGTATAATAG